TCTGTTAGTTAATCGCGAATACAATGAGTAAAAACTCAATTTTTAACATTAGTACTCCCTTAAAAAAAGACTGGAAAACACAAAGGATCAAATAGTTGATAAAAATAATAAAGAATATTTTAAGGATTTAATTTGATTATATTTTTAAATTCAGTGATAATCTATCAAGAATAATTAGAATGAGTTTATTGGACACATATCAATAGGAGTGACATATAGGAAGGATTTAGATATGTAAAATCTAAAATTTTGGAGATACATATCTAATATAAAAAATTAGAGGGGCAAATATGTTATTTCATATAAGGGCTCCTAATTCTTCTTTGACCGATGGATTGGGATCAGACGGCAAGGAGGGAGGGAGATGGAGGTGCAGAGCAGGTTGGTGATGCAACACTCAACACCTATAAATGTTCATCTGGAGGGATTTTCTTGGTTCATCAGTGCTTCCAAATAGCTGAAAAGAAGCCCTAAATCAGAGGATTGATTCATGTAGCAAATGTGTTTGTGATGTATTTATTATATATGTTTTTATCCACAATCTACCAAAAAATACTGTAAGAAGAGGGGATCACTGCAAGCATCATTTATCAACACACATACAATTGATCTGTAAAAAAGCAAGGAAGTTCAATTCAACTCATTGAAGCTAGGTAAATCATTGGACTCAAAAGAATGATTAAGCATATGCAATCTTAGTACTGTTTTCTAGTTAACTCAGTGTGAGTTGGGTGGAGCTACTAGTATCCACTAAGGTTAGTGAAACATGTTTGGTCACTCAAGGTTATATCAGTAGAACTCAAAACTTCTGGTCCACTATATGATATGATGAGATCTAAAGAATGGTGAGACAAATAAAAAAAATGAAGAGCCAAATCAGCTCCTTGTCCATTTAAATAGTAGAAATTTTGTTGTGCACATATAGAATAGCATAGAATAGACTGACACATGACTGCAATCACATGACTCAGAAAGGCAGATTTGGAGAACTTGGATTTTGGCTGGGGTTGGAAGTGCCATTCAGATGTCAGCTGATGATACCTTAGCTAGAATTATTGGCATACTCATCAGCTGGGCATGCTTTGGCTACTAATTTAAACTATGAATGACCACTAGGAAACAAACAAATGGGAGTTCATTGTTCTGAAAGCTGTCTCTCTCTTAAATAAAAAATATAAAAAAACTTCTCACAAAGAACTTCCACATCCATGCAAGAGGACTCACTATAACAAGCAAGATTCCTATTGATGTCAATTAATTACTTGCTGAACAGGAAACACCGCTACCAAATTACGATCCGATAGATAAATTTTACCAAATATTTACACTGGCCGAGTATGGGTAGAAAGAAGTAAGATTACATGGAAAAGAAAAGTGCAAATGCACTGAAGTAACTATCTTTGCTTCATAAAGAGTATTTTCTTCTTTTTGTGTTCAAACAACATACACATAGCAGAATGCTTCCATAACAAAGAACTTATGTGACTGTGCTTCCAGAACTACACGAAATCCAACCAAAAGCTCCTTAACTTGTGATACTTACTGCAAAGCTATACTAAGATGACAACAATAGCACATGATTTTAAAGAAAAAAGATAACCAATGTGTGAGCTTCCTAGAAGCAAGTCAGGGTGCTAATAGAATGAGAAAATAGATGCACCGGAATCTAATTCTAGGATTCATTATAGGCCTGTAACTGATTCAATCAAAGGATATCTACAGAATAGTTGATGTTACATCAGAATGAAGACCAAACATTTGAGTTTTTAAAGCTTAACCAAGGAATTAAGTTTGCAGAGAATGGCTCAAATCAACAGCATAAAGTTCTCGGTGGCTTACATAACAATAAATACAAATTAGAGCTAATGTGCTTAGCCATATATAGCCTAGGACCACTGTTTTGTGGTTTAAACAACATTAAGCATAGACAAAATGTTAGGATAGTAATTCACAATAGAAGCAAGTCTAGATAAATACAATCATATTAGATTTGTAGAGATCCAAGTGCCAGCATGTGGTTTCTAGAACATAAACAAGACTAGGAAAGACTTTTATGGAAAAGGGAAAATGAGAACAAACCATCATCAACCACAGAAACCAATATTTTACTTATTGTTGTAATCAATAGAAAAAGCAAATTTACATCAACACATAAAAAGAAAAATTATGCACATGATATGGTTAAAAGAAAATTCGATTATTGTTGTGTTTTGCAAAGCATCATGCTTAGGAAAATATGCTCACTCTTCTTTTTTCCAGTCATACATTCTAACATTCAGTTGTATCTCCTTCAATCTTGTATGGCTCTTTGTTTCTTTTTTTTTTTTTACCTTTGCTTTCATCTTCTTGTTGTACATAAGACCCTCTCAAAGGCAAAAGTCTCAGCAAATTGGAAAAACGACTTGGTTGAAGCTCATCTTGGAACCCAAGCCTCCATCTCAAGATCAAATGCCCAGATGAACAAGTTCTTTGTTTTCTTTTTTTCTTTCCGAAAACGCTTTAGCTCATGTTATAACACCTCCACTGCAAATCTATAGTTAGAGAACAAACATACTCTCCTTTAAGAAATAGATCAAAACAATTGCTGCAGCATCAAATAAGACATAGGGAATAGAAACATAGTAAAAGGATGATCAACGATAAACAAGATCAGAGACAAAGTACATTCTTCTCTCTAATCATTAAGGATTTGACATTATAATCGTGATGAGGTAACGACAATCGTATATATCAAACATTGCAAGATTACAGGAGAAGATACAAGTAGAGATCAAATTTACCCCAACCAACAGAGCTGGTCATGGAGCACTCGATCCCCAACCGAGAGACCCCAAGTCAGGATAGCCCGCATTGTGACTGGAATCCACCAAATCATCCGATTTACCCAATTCCCCGGTGGCGGACTCCAAAAAGAAACAATCTTTCCGTCCATTGAACAACAAGACTCATGGAGAATGGGCAAGGGAGGGCACCGACAACCGCCGATCGCCTCGCACCGTCCGACTCAGCTGCGATCTCTTGAAGACGAGGAACCCCCCGAACGCCACCTGCAGCACCACGGCCACGACAAGAAACGCGAGCCCGACTTTCTCCCCGAGATTGAGCTGCTTGGGGTTCCCGGGCGGCGCGGCGCCCGCGTCCGCGCCGGCCTGATGCTCCAGGCGGCCACGGGGAACCCGGGGATGCGGCGGAGGGGGCGGTGGCGGGGGTGGCGGAGGCGGCAGCTGGATGCTGGTCGAGGCCACCTGCTTCGGCGGCGTGCGGCGAGGGGACGGCGACCGGGAGGGGGAGGGGGAGGGTGAGGGAGAGGGAGAGGGTGCGAGAGCGTCGCCGGCGGAGAGGAGGAAGGGGAGGAGCAGGGCGAGAGCTAACGATCGCGTCTCCATGGAAGGAGGGAGGACGGATCAAGGGTTCCGGCCGTTAGCGGACGACTCCGACTCCTTCCGGCGAGCGCGGGACCCACATAAAGCGGAGGAGAGAGATGGCCCAATGTTCCCCGCCCTCGCTCTCTCTCTCCCTCTCTCTCTCTCTCTCTTGTGTCCGGAAACAATAAGAGAGATCGGGAGAGGCATCTTTTTAGTACCGCATAATATTTTTATGCGGCCCGAAAGGCGTCTACGCTCACATTATGCGGTATCGTACTACGCGACAAAAGTTTCGTACGAAACGCCCCCTTCTGTGAGCAAGTCGCGCCCAAAGTCGGCCCCCACCACGAAGTCGTGAGAGGAGTCGCTCCGATGGGCGAAACACGACGACTCTTCGTTCATCCGGTGCCACGGAAGGCAATTTCCTTTTCAATAACACTTTTCTTCTTCCACCAAAACATAAAAAGTATATATATATATATATTAATTTTCCTACACTTCATAAGAACAATAATAAAAGAATATAATCTACTCACTATGAAGAGTAGTAGATTAATTGTTCATTTTGTTCAGTCATGGCTTCTTACAAGAACACTAAAATAATCTACTCACTATGAAGAGTAAACATGGATATTTCATATAATAATGTAAGCATAGTATGGAATGCAAGGCCAGAGAATAGGGAGGAATATAATCTAGTTTGGCAGAAGTCCACTTCAACCTACTGTTAACAACAGCTTCCATAGGCAGTGCAAGCCATCAAGTTATAGTAGCAGAAAACAACAAAGGAGTAACAGGATCCAATCAAAAGGCAGGCATGTTTGAAGTAGCAAGAGAGACAGTCACATACAATTTACCATGTTGTGTTTATACAGTCTACAAAATGGTGAATCAAAATTCACATGATTTTGGTTACTGCTGGGAAGCATACATAAAACATCAGAAACATTGAAACTTCAAGGAATACAAGTTAATGCTACTTGAGTAGCAATCATGAAAATTCTACCTGTTGTATTCCAAAAGGTTGCCTGTTGTCATCATGAGTCCTATTATTATCAGAAGTGGATGGCACAAACAGGAGAAGCACATCTCATCCTCATCGTCATGGGTACATCAGAATCTTGCTGGCTTCATAATTTAACAGCATCATTTTGCTCTTACCTATTTTAGCAACAAACTGATGTCTTTGATTATAAATCTCTTCGATAAGCTATCCCCATAGCCACACAAGTAATGGCTATAATCTCAGCATTCTTTCAGCTGCAAAACGTGAAAAGAAAGAACCCCATGCTCGTATTTTGGTCAGTTGATGATCGGTACAAGTGTGGGGCTCGAGTGTTTCACAACATGCGACTTCCACATCACATTGGATGTGTCTGACTTGAATTGCCAATGAGCCAGCAGCTGTGTACTTAATAAGAGGCAGAACAGATTTGGCTAATCAAAACTCTGAAAGCTTCCATAGCAGCAGTACTATGTAACTCCACTTCAGATTTGCGTGCTTGTCTGAATGCACGGTGAGTGGAAGTCAGCCACCACTTACAGAGGCGACGATGGCACGGTGAGATAAGCTTTGAAGGGCCAGTGAGAATGGCAGGTGCAGCAAGTCTAGGCACATGGGGACCGTGATCATGCCATCATATGGTGCATAATGGTGACCTAACACTCATTGCAACCAGCCTTTTTCCTGATGCTGATGAAGTTGATGATTATTCTATTGAACCCATGCAACAAGCCTCCAATGGTGCTCTTGTTCTGGTGCAGCCGCCAGATCCACATCATGCAAATGGCCACGGGGCTCCTATCGCCACCAAACCACCACCAAAGTCCCTCTCAACTCTTCAGTGACCTGTACTTGCATTCTGTCATATAAGAGAGACTGTCCACTTGAGACTGCATCCACAGGCAGAAGCATTCAGCTCACACAATTCCTCTTCAAACATGCGTGGAAACCCAAGCTGCTGTAAGAAGAGCTTTAATAAGGGGTCTTGGAGTGCTACTGAAGACAAGATCCTCACAGACTACGTCAAAGCTCATGGAGAAGGGAGGTGGGGAAAGCTTCCCAAAAGTGCAGGTTCGAGCAAGTTCTTGACTAGAATTGGTGGTTCTTAATGCTTTCCATCTGCAGCATGTAGTTAATTAGAGGACTTTCTCTTCTCTCCTCTTCCTGAAAAAAGAAACAAGATAAAAAGTAGTATCTTATTCTCTTCTTTTGTTTCTGGAGTCACAAAGGCTTATATCTACTTCTCTCTTCTTTAGACAAACTATATGTTGACATTTTTCTTTTCAAGTACGAAAATTAAACACAAAGTATTCGGGCAAAAATGTATTTACCAATTGCATAGAATGTAGCTTGTCATCCTGGATTTCTTCTCATACTCTATGAATCGCATTCACTTCATGATCCAAATTTGGTGTTGTTCTAGGCCTGAATCGATGCCCGAGGAGCTGCAGGCTCCGTTGGCTGAATTATCTGCGCCCAGATATCAAGAGGGGAAACATATCTCATGAAGAAGAAGACCTCATCATCAGGCTTCATAATCTCCTGGGGAATAGGTCAGCTAATCTCCTTGCAGACAATTACGGAAATGATTCCTTGCTAATATTTCCTCATGTACAACTTGAAGGTGGTCTCTCATAGCTGGAAGACTACCCGGTCGAACAGACAATGAAATCAAGAATTACTGGAACACAGTCCTAAGGAAGAAGGTAAAAGCTTGCTCAGTTGGATCGAAGAAGATCATGCATTCAGACAAAGATGAAGATAGGAGCAGTAAGAGCCAAGAAAAGGTTATATGTCCAGAATTTGAGAATTCAACCAGCTGCAATGACGCTTCTGTGAGCAGTCAGCATGATGATAAAAATATTTGTAAAAAGGAGTCCAAAAAATCAGTGGTAAGTGGAGAAATTCATTTGGATACCTATTTCTTAGGACCTGAAGATTGTGACCCAGTGATGGCTTCAGTGATTGAGGAGTCCTGCACAAAACACCCTCTGGACATAGACTTCTCCGAGATCTTTGGGGACAATCTCCAAAAAGACATGAGAATTTGGGGTATTGTTGATGCTCCTGAGCCCCCTGATGATATTATGTTATTTAGCAATGGAATATCTGACAGCTGGTTTAATGGGGATGACATACAACTATATGGTGGTATCAATCTCGAATCATTCACTACACTATTCCCGTCTGAATCAGAATTTCTGGGCCTGTGAAGTGACATGGTTCAGAAGTGATAGCTCCTTCCCAAAAAAGTAATGCCCCAAGGATGTTGGTATCATATGATAGTATATATTTTGTCTCTTTTGTTGCAAAAAAATTACTGTTTGAAATAAATCTATTGCACTTTGTTCTCACCTTTGTTAACTTCAAATTGCCATTTGGCTGCTCAAACTGGTAATGAAAGCAAAGATGCAAGACATACCTGAAAGATATGTTGATTGAATGAATACCAAGTCCTCTTTGCAAACACCAGGATGCCAAAGTGGGCATTGTTTTCAGGATATGCTTCTTCCTAACATCATAGGGAGACAAATTTTGGAACTTCAACTTTATGCTAATGCTTCTGAGTCCATATATTTGAAGACGCCATGCGATAGTGCATTTAATAATTTATACATCCCTTCACACAGATCATGTCCTTATAATTCCAGCCGACTCAAACATAGACACAGTGTTTTGAATCTGTCGGTTCCATGCATGTGCAAGACATACCAGAAGGTCTTGGAGGCCCTAAGAAAAATCCAAGGTTCATCGGTAGGGCGGATAGGCGGCAGCTGGAATCTGGTTGTCAAGCAACTCCATCGTCTTGAGCAAATGAGAGTTTGTCTCTTGAGAAGTACCTTCAAAGTTGCCTGGAAGACAATATTTCAGATCTTGGCATAAGCATGTGGAGAAAATTTGTGTTTTGATTTGTAGTAATGTTAATGTCTTTTTATACGATAAAACCTTTTTGTTGAACTGAACTTTGCAATATGATAACTTTAGATCCACAGGAAGTTATCTTGTTGACTAGAAGGTAGTGCCATTTTGAATGTTAAGTTCCACTGAATTAATTTCTTTTGCTTTGATAACATGGACAATAATACAGACTGTACAACCAACTATAAGATTCAATCTTTAAGTTCTATTTTAGAAGTACAGCTTTCATTTGTCTAAGTTGATTAAGATGTCAAGACATGATGTTTACATGCTGTTAAAACCTAATGGTTCCTTGGGCATTTTATGCACATTGGTAAGAAGTTCCCAATATTAAAGAATGACCTCCAAAGAATCAAATCCAGACCCTACGAATGAGATATCTCATAAGCATGCTGTGGCTGACCTATCAGGAAATACCATCTGCAAATAAAAAATTGCTCAAATAGAAAACAATAAAAAGATTCCATTCTGAAAGGGACCATATATTTTCACATGCTAACTCTATACAGCTAAGGAATGATGATGATGTCTTCAAGTACTCAATTGCTCGAATAGAAAACAAAATCAGTACATAATTTAAATCTCAAAGTGATGCTTAAAGAGAAAAATCTCAAACATGGGATCCTGTTGTACGTAAGTGTGACCTTCTGTGAAGATTCGTAATAAAGCTCCTTGATGAAGCTTGAGATTTAGCTGCATCCTCAAAAGAAGCAGCAGAAAAAAAGAATTGAAGGTCTAAAAAGTCAGTGGAATAACTGCAAACAAGTGATGCAGAAAAAAAGTATGCAAGTACTAAAAAAAGAAATAAGTAAATAACTGCTATGACAAAGACTAACAAAGATACACCATTCAAAGGCCAGAAGAGATATTCCACTATAAATATCAAAGTAGAAGCTAAGATAAATCTCCTTAATGCCATCTACTAACCTAAACCTACCAGAATTTTAAGACCTATATCAATTCAAACTTCTCAGAAATTTAAAAAACTCATCGCTTGGTCAGCATCATCTAGGTATTAACTACAGATCCAAATTAAAGTTCATGAGATCTGCATAATTGATCAGCGTAAGTTAGCAAATTGAACCTCAACCTAGGCATCGGTCACAAATGATCATATTGTCTTTACCTGAACATAATGTTCTTTCGTGTATAGGAAAGTGCACAATATATATTGAAAAGGAATGCATATCATGAGCCAAACGCACGAACATATAAGATATTGTTGCAATGTTCTTATCAGATTCAAACTAGAACATTTCTCCAATGATAGTGATGTCGTGGGTCCTTTTCTTTCTTTTGCCCTGTTCACAAAAATGTTGTTCATGACCCACAGAAGGCTTCCAACTTTGCTATCATATTAATTGTTTGACTCTGATGTTCAGTAGCCTGATCTGGCATTTTTTCTCCTCCATGAGGTTCACTAACTGGCACCACACATTTCTCTGATTCGGCACCATATACGCATTCATCGCCAATTACATCCTTTCTCCTGGCACAAATAGCTCCCTGCCTTTCTTCGACTCAGACTTGGGCAAAAACCATCAGGCCTATTCCTAGTGTCCCTTTCTTATCTGATATTCAAGACTTTGGGAGTGCCTTCAACATATCCCTTGTTCCAACAGGGAGGTTATCTGGCTTAAAGGCAAAACTCAAAAGGACCACGTCAGATCAAGCACCCCATGCCAATTGGACAGCCAAAACTCCCTTGATTATAAAGGAACTTCCATGACAATCCAAAAGCCCCAGAGACAACCCCATCAAGGAAGCAAGCCAAAGCATGCAAATGCTCGAATTCCCTTCACCACTCAAAAATATAACTAGGTGGCATCCCAAAGACATCTTGAAAATTAAGAACTGAAATTGCATATCTACACAAAATTCCTCAGCATTGAAAAGTGCAACAAACGCATTGCACCTCCAATTCATTGTGATTTATATTTACTTCATAGAACATTCACTCAGTTGTTTTATGATCCTTCACTCATGCTTTCTTTTTTGCTTTGAAAGTAGACATTTGATCATAGATTATAACCAGTGAAGAGATGCAGTATGTTAAAGCTTCCATATAAGCTTGAGTTTTTTTTAAAATGTCAATTACGTAGAATTTGCATAATGCTTCTTCACATGAATTTGTAATGTTAAATGAGGGCTCTTATACAGAAATTCAACATCTGACTTGACTTCCTCAAACAACAATTTAAACCATTCATTATCTTCAAGTCCATATTTCTCGACCATTTTTCTCCACTCTTTTTCAAATTCATCGACTTCGAGTTACATACCACTTTAAAGACATCTTGATATCTTTGAAGTCTGGAAGTCCTTGCGGATTTTCCAGAATTCTTTTCAAATATGATAGTCATAGATGACAACGGACTTTTTGAAATGCTGTTGCAACTGCTTCTTGCATGGCATTTCATCTCTCAGTAATTACAGCACCCAGAGGATGACCAAACACACAAGACAGACAACCTCTATTTAGCCAAACATGTATCACTAGATCAATCCAACAACTGTGCAACACCTTCTGACCATGATGGTTTACCCCCAATGAAGTCAACAAATAGAAAGCCATACCAACCAATCAAGTAAGTAGTATCTACTAGAACAACATCACCAAAATACTGATATTCAGTCCTTCACCTGTCATCAGCACAAAACACATTCATCAGCTGTCCTTGGTCCAGGTCCATGAAATGAAAAAAGGTAGGTGTTCTTGCTTTGAGTGCTATTGAATAGTTGCTGTATAATGTCATTATCTCCTGTTTTCAAGATACAAATCATATTTCCTCTGCCCAGTTCCACACTTGCATAACCTACCAAATCATCCTTCATGAAATTGACTCATCCATTAATATCCCTGCTAAACCAATATTCTCATGAAAATGCTTTCCTCTCTTGGAAGGATAGTTATGTCTATTCCTGGAGTAACCTCATGGTCGCGTTCAAGTATAAGTCACTTAATATGTAGAAATCTGTCGACACAGTATCTGAGTTGGATACCAGCGACGTAATTTGTCCTTGTGATTGGTTTCAGTGAATGAAATTCTGACATGCTTCACTTTGCTATCTTTGGTTATAATAAAACCGAAGGTACCTGCATCATACATCTATAGAGAATATTGGTTTCTTGAGTTTAGCATCTTTATTTGAAATCAGTGTGTCTAGCACATTCATCATAGTTACCTTAAGCTGCTTCAGAGGTTTGGAAGATCATCCCCATTCTAGTCTATATTAGCAGTAATTAGCTACCTTGTTGCATCAGTGGTCCCACCATTCTCTATAACAGGCTCCCGGCCATCTCCAGCATCGCCATGACTCATTCCTGGAAGCTATCTCCATGTCATTGTCTGAACGCCCATGCTAATCCATTGCATACCCAACCAAATAACAGTAAGCATCTCCTTGCAGGAGATATAAACCACCAATTGATTCTGGACCAAAACTAGATTCCAAATCTAAAAAGAGTCAGTTCAGGAATTGTGAATATTACAGCATAAAGAAATGGCAATATTTATAGGATTAAAGAGCTTTAAAATCTTGTTTTCTCCAAGGAGGGAAAGAAAACCTCTTCTTTTTGAAAGTCGAAATAGAGAAGTTCTATAAATTCACTTGAAGAGATCATTTACTCATTAAAACTACGACCATTTTAGGACAAAAAAATACGAATTCACAAACTAAACGTGAGAAAACATAAAAATTTGGTCAAATTGAAACAAGAATATAGAGGTAATTAACAAGAAGAAAAGGAAGCCGGTTTGGAGCTAATAGTTTCGCGTGGTATATCGTAAAACCCTAGAACACCGTAAATCTACAAGCACGAATCATCCGTTTTAGGAGAAAAAGAAATAAACTCACGAACTAAACGGGAGAGAACATCAAATTTGGTCACATTGAAACAAGATTTCCAAAAGAAACCGTAGAACACCCTAAATCGCAGAAACCCTAGAACACCCTAAATATCCAAGAATTTGGCCAAAAAAACGCATGACCTTATAGCGGATCCAGAGAGCAGCTCTAATTGGCTTCATGATCCAGAGAGACCTTGGTCTGACCATTTTTTATGCCCAGATTATATATATATATATATATATATATATATATATATATATATATATATATATATATATATATAATCATCTTATCGTTATCAATAGACCCTTAGCATAATGTCACGTCCTTAGCTGGAATTGCCTAAGGCGTGAGGTACCCTTGCGGCCAAAGACGCGAACTTAGTTTGCATCGCCTAAGTCGCGGGTCACCCTTGTGGCAAAGACGCGAACTTAGCTTGTGTTGCCTAAGTCGCGCTTCGTCCTTGCGATATTTCTCCGCAAGGATCAGCCCACTTTGTAACCTCTGGACCTGTAAAAGAAAAAGAGAGTTAGTTCGAAAGAACGAGCAACAGACAAGTCTTGAAGTCTCGCGAAAAGAGAAGTTTTACAAGCAATTCGACGAACACCTGGTGTGCACAAGAGAAAAAAGGGGAGGGAGAAAAACAAGGCTTTCAGGAATGAACGAACAGCTGCAAGCCTACAAACAATGATATGAGAAAATAAGAAAACCTTACCCAAACAATCAGACGGCCAAAGTATTCTCCAAGACTCCAATCATCCATCCAAACCGTCTATTTCAAAATCAACGTTTCCCAACCGTCCGATCCTCTTAATTAAACTAAAACGTAAGAACGCCGGTACGCGTCGTCACTTCGTAGGGCTTCGAAGAAGGTTAACACCGCCAGCCCAAAAAGAGTGGCTCATCTCGAATCCCCTCCGCTGATGGCTTCCCAGATGAGCAAGAAGCGAAAAGTCGCGCCTCTCTTCTGATCCGAAACTTCGATTTCCCCCTAATTTTTCTTCTCTGTCGCCCTCACGTTTCGCTAAATTTGTTTTGATTTCCTCCGCCCATTTTGCGCAGTTCGTGGCGGATGGAGTGTTCTTCGCTGAGTTGAACGAGGTCCTGGCGAGGGAGCTCGCGGAGGATGGCTATTCTGGTGTGGAGGTCAGGGTTACGCCCGTGCGGACCGAGATCATCATCCGAGCGATCCGCGCCCAGAACGTCCTCGGTGATTTATTGCTTTCATTTGGGATTTCGATTCGGTTCACTGTGTTTAGGACAGGTGTTGTTTAGTGTTTGATTCCTTTTTTGGGTTGGTGTAGGTGAGAAGGGGAGGAGAATAAGGGAATTGACGTCTGTTGTGCAGAAAAGATTCAACTCCGGAGAACGGTGTCGAGCTCTATTCTGAGAAGGTCAGCAATAGGGGGCTTTGTGCCATTGCTCAAGCTGAATCACTCCGCGACAAACTTCTTGGCGGACTTGCTGTTCGGACGTTGGAAACTCTTTCACCTTCTCTTTCAAATCTAAGTTTGCTCAAAGAAGCCTTATATTGTCGTTTGGATCCGGTAATTTCCTTACTCAGGCTTGAAGTTCTGATACCAAATTTCACAACCCGGGTTAATTAGATTACACTTATCAGATTCTTATAAGTCAATTTTAGTCTTATCTACTTCCGATGTGGACTAATCGGGGTGTTACAATTATAATGTTTGATTAGTGTTACAATTATTATAACACCCTGATTAGTCTTATATCGGAAGTGGGTAAGATTAAGATTGACTTATAATGTTTGATTAGTGTACTACTATCAATTTCAGCTTAAGCATTTTGATTAGTGTTTTAGGTCAAACGAAGTTGATAGGCCAGTAAGCTCATTAGGCCCCTTTGGTATCAAAATCGATCTAGTATATGGGTATGTTGAGGGAGCTCGAGTAGGTTTTGTTGAACCTTTACGAGGACATCAAGCCCCTGAGTAAGGGAAATTATAACACTCCAATTAGTCTCATATTGGAAGTGGGCAAAATTAAGATTGACTTATAAGGGTTCGATTAGTCTATTATTATCAATTTTAGCTTAAGTATTTTGACCAATGTTTTAGGTCAAACGAAATTGATAAGCCAACCAGCTCATCAGGCCTGGTTGTGGCAGTATGACCTTGTTAGAGATGGATAATTTTGCATATATGGGAGGAGTAATATTGCAAACATCCTTCAAGATTGGTTTTATTGTGTTAGGATGAGTGTATCACTTGTCCATCATGTTTCATAGTTGTTTAAACTACTCTTCTATGCTATTTTGTACATTATATTGCTCTACTGACAACCTTTTTGCGAAATCTTTCAGAGGCTAGTTAAATGGGTTTTTTAAATCATGGTTTCATTATTATTATAATACTTGTTAGTATTTGTAATGTCTGTCATCTATAAAGCAAATAGGTTACCAAGTACCAAATTTGTGTCGGAAGGTGACAATATCAAGATTGTCAAGGGAGCAATTAGGGTCATGTTATTTCTTGACCTTGTGTTCAGCTCTTTTGGCTATACGTTCAATTTCATTGCCAATCAACACCTATAATTGTCCTGTTTTAATAAAATTAACATTTTTGCAGTCTTTTCGTTACCTGTGTTTACTATCTGGTTGTCATCATGCAACTGGACACTATATGGTTTGATGGCTTGTTTCTTGATTCTCACATAATGAATTATGGAGTTAGTCATGTTTCTTGTATTATGTGTGCTTGGAGTTCAGAATATGCTTTAATATTGTGGCTATTTGTGATCTTGGAACTGCTGATTGATGAAAAATTATTTGGACTGGTTTTAGTAGAGCATGTCTCCATCTGTTTTTGTTTAGTGGGCAATGCTTCTTTTATTATTTCATCTATATGCTCTGGAGCTTTATTTTTTTTTTAAAATTAAGGTCTCTTATGCGACCTTAAACATAAGATAATGATCATTTATCCACAGAAGAAACAGGATTTGATAGTATCTTGGTTGGTTAGCATCTCAAAGTTCTAAAAAAGACTGATTAACACAAGTTCTGGCTTGTTGTACGTGATCCTATAACACTGTTGCTTCTCAATTATGCTGTAATTTCATGTTGCTCTTTGTTTACCTTAGTTCTATGATTAGTTAAATGACACCATTTTTGTTGGACCTTAATCCACACATAGATTGCAAGAGTTTTAATGTCCTCTCCGAGGAAATGTATCGTATCACTGTAGATTTCTTAGTTATGTTCTTTTCTCCTTAACATGTTCTTGGTCTGTGTTCTTGTACCTGATATTTGTCATTTGTAATGACTTTCCACCCCTACACAGTTACATTTGTGATTGTGAACTTTAGAGCTTATTTTATTTAGACAAGTAAGGTTGATGGATAAGTTTCTATGATCCAAAAGGTGTCTGATTGGCTTATGTTATGTTCCAGGGCCTGTTATGGTGTCTTGAGGTTTGTCACGGAGAGTGGTGCAAAGGGATGTGAGGTATATTTTGGTCCTAAAGATGCATTTGGTTTTTCTTTGAGAACTAGAGTTTTATTCCATTGTTTGTTTAGGTAATTGTAAGTGGAAAGCTTAGGGCTCAGCGTGCTAAATCCATGAAGTTCAAGGATGGCTACATGGTATCCTCCGGTTAGCCAGTCAATGAATATATTGACTCAGCAGTGAGGCATGTTCTCTTAAGAAAGGTTAGCTTTTAATATATATGATCAAATTGCCCGTCTATCTCATACTCAATTCTTTCCTTCGCAAAAGAAACTACAGTGTATTGTCTTTGAGATAATTCAGTACATATTGTCTGTAATGTTGGATGCAATGTTTTGCTCTGCTATTAACGTTTTACTCCTCACATATTTGCAGTTTTCTCTCTCAAACATTTGATGTGAACCTATTCTGTTTCAGCTATTTTAACTTTGGATATAATTCTCTTTTTTCTGAATTGAATCGTGCACCTTGTTATTCATAGGGTGTTCTTTGAACCAAGGTCAAAATTATGTTGGATTGGGATCCAAAGGGAAAGCAAGGTCCTACAACCCCTCTTCCAGATCTCGTCACGATTCATCTGCCAAAGGATGAAGAAGAATACGTCCGGCCAACAGTAACTTCGATGCCAGAGATAGCAGCGGCATGATTTTTATTCTGGTTTCTTCGGTCTTAACTGTTTAGTTGGGTTACACAATGGTGATAAGAAGCTTTAACTTGTCATTCTTACAGCACTTTCTTTTTTCTTTTTCTGCTGGAAAGGATGATCAACTTATTCCAATTAGAACTGCTGTTTCTTAATGGTTATACAATTAGGATTTTGGATGCATGGCTTGCCATATGAACAAAGCTCCTGCACTCGCTCAGCGGCTGCGACTCCAAAGTCGTCTTCCTCCTCCTGGACTGCATCGATCACCAGAAGCATTCAGAGGTACGCCTTGGTTGCAAATACATAATCCTTTACAGAATTTGAACTATAGTCATTCACCCCAACCTGAGCCAGCCCAGTCTATAGGATCTTAAATGATGTTCATGTGGTCCACCTGAATAGTGAGCTTGAACTTATTAATCTGGTTCGGTTGAATCAATTTCTTATCTCGAACTTGAGTCTTCCAAGTACCATTTGCATGATCCAATCAAACCTACCAAAACTAGATGAGACCAAAGACAAACATTAACTGTAGTGGTGTCCAATTAGTTGCTGTTGCAGTAAATATAACACCCAGGTAGGGTTCAGTGGGACATGCCATGCTCTTGTGTCCATCTAACAGCTGGTACAAGCATCTTTTAATTGATATCTGACATCAGTACATATATGAATTGAAATACTAGTGGGACTTGGGAGTTTTGAAAGGGACAGAGATTCCTTCAAAAATCTTACTGCTCTCCTTCATGGATTCTGTGAGTCCACAGTCTGTGATCCCTGGAAAAATCTTTGTGGCCTCTCACATTATTATTTTTATGCTGCTCCACTGAATAAACATTTTGTATGGAGTAGGGCCAGATGGATTGGGTCACTTCAAAGTTTACTTGGAGGATAAGTCACTTGACAGAAAATATTTGTAGATTAAAGAAAATGTTGAAAATTAAGAATTTGATTATTTTATAAACACCTTATCTTTGTCCTAAGATTATAGTAGGAGAGTAGGAAGATAAATAATTGAGTTCAAAGATTTTTCTCTATTATTGGGGTGAGAGGGTGTATGAGGGGGGCCTTGGGTTTTATTTCTTATAGTTTAATTTTCTCACGTAATAAAATTTTATTTTATTGTTTCATAAAGCTAGATAAGGATCATTAAATCACATAAATCTTGTCTAAATTTGTCAGAGAGAATAGGAAAGAACGAAAAATGCAAATATAGTCCAACGTTGTGTCCTCTGCGAGTGGTGTTAATGCTTAGGAAGTTGGATTAATGGCAGGGGACGAGGACCCTTAAGCACTACGTGTCACTCGTCCATTGGCCAGTACCTCAGCCCATTGGGCCATGCACCACTTGGACGTATCCTTTGAATTGTTTGGAATCCCCACAAGCTCGAGCAAAGAGAGCTAACACGTGTCTCTCTCCATTGTTGTTCTTCCCTTCCTCCCTCTTCTTCCTTCTCAAAGCTTAAGCCACTTTCCTGAGCCCTACCCACTATAAAACCCCACGCACTCCCTCTTCCCCTCTCTTGTAGGAGAGATCTCAAACACAGAAGAGGTGGGAGACACATGGCCACTGCTTACTACCATCACAACGGCCCTCACTGCGACTCTCCCTACTCCCCATCCCCTCCCTTGCCGCTCCACCTCTGTCTCTTCCTCCTCACCCTCTTCATCTTCGTGGGCCTCTCGTGGTACATGGCCTACGAGTCGGTGTTCGAGAGCCTGCTGGATCAGCTCAAGCTCTTGCTCATGGCGTCACCGCTGCTGCTCCTCCTGGTCGTCCACTGGTTGTCCAACGACGAGCGGCGGAGGGTGCCCTTCTTCATCCCCCTGCCCGAGAGGGAGTCCTTCCACCGGGCCGGGGGATCGCCTTGGGGCGTCGGCCTCCTTGTCGTCCTCCTCATGTTCATGATCTCCTACCAGTCCTACTTCCACGAGCGCTGGTTCCCGCTACTGAGCCGATGAGGCTGATGTCGGAAACATGAACAAGCTGTTTTCTAGCTCTTATGTACTTGGATGTGTATGTCGTTGGAGATGTAGGCCTTGCATGCATAAGAAGGCACTGTTCTTGCTCTCTTGAGGGCTTTCTGTTTTCTCGAATGCTTGAGGTCGAGGAGGATCGTCTAAAAACCTTGTTTTTCTGTGTCTTTCTCGAGTTCTTGAGACATGCATCATACGGTCACTGATCTTTCCCTTTCAACTCAAGAACACAGAAGCTAAGCTAGTACTAGATTCTGATCCCAATCTGTGAAGCTACAGTAATCCAAGTAGCGAACACTTGCTGGACGACTGTTGTTGGAAGATCACATTGAGAGAGAGAGAGAGGGGGGGGGTTGATGCTTGGTTGTCCACATTAAAAGTAGTACTGTTTTTAACAGTGGTGCAGGACCTGCAACTCAGTAACTTTTGGCTGGGCCACGAGGTGTGTCTCTGAGTTAGGGATGCTTTTGCACTGGCACATAAGGACAAAAGGGATAAAAGGATTGAAAGATGGTAATGGATCTCAAAGTTCCAGCATTGGTTCCAGGGCAGCATCATGTGATCTGATCATATAATACTCTTATTATATGTCCTTGTTAATTTGTAGGCACAAAATCCAAAAGTTTAAATGATCACTAAAGTTCACATAGAGCCAAAAGAAAAAAAGACTATCAGGTAATTTAAGGAGTCAATTTAAGTATAATTTTGTTTTCCTATCTTAGCAGTGCAAAGTATTGTAATTGATTTGTGCAATACTGAATTATGCTTCGGGTTGGGAAATGTTTCTTAGATCACTGATTCCTCTTTCGGCACAGGAGGCGAATAAAGACATAAAGATGTCAATGATTGTGCCAAAATAAGGACGGGGGTGGGGAAAGATGTCGATGAATCTAAAGGTCCATGTGTTGCTCAATATGATGTCTCCCTTTAGGCTTTTGCATATACCCTGATGTGGAGTAGATTATGAGTTGTTTAAAGAAGGGAATGGCATCTCTAGTTGCAACTTCTTCCCTTTTCCTTTCGGCCTTGATGGTGACTAAAGCAACTGTGCTCATGTCTAATTAATCTTGATTACTTAGGCTGCATTGTTCTTGATGTTCTTGAAATGAAGTTAATTGGTGTACTTTATGCTGAAGCTTGTACACTCAGGTGTCTTATGTTCTGGATAAAAAGGACTCCTGATGAAGCTAAAACAGAGAGACTTGAAGATTTACCCAAAGCCAAGAGGTAGGTGTTCCCTATGAACAATGTTTTTAACTTAACCTTATGTTCTACAATATAGCAACCTCCACTTACAAATATTAAGAATATCCTCTTTCTTATTTTCCCTGTATCAACTAAAGTATAAGATGAAGCAAATGCATGCCTTAACTTATTTGAAGCTTGTACGTATATATGTATGTATGTATGTATATAGATAAATTTTGTGTTGTTTCAGTTGCATGAACATTACGATCTTCGTGGAGGAAAGGCTATAACATACGCAGAGAGGGAAACTGCTGGATTCAGAGACTGGGACTAGGATTGAGTCAGAAAGATACCTGTGATGCTACTTATGATCACTCCTGTGCAGTTTTAGTGGGCAAATTGGATCAAATTTTGTTGCAGACAAATCTGCTTGTTGGGGAGGTTTCTGAAGGTAGTGTTACAGGAGCAGCAAGAACACAAAGGCCTACAACTGAGATGCTGCAGAATAAGCCTTGATGGTGTTGATGTTAGAGCATAAATCTAAGTTACAACTTTTCTTATCAGCTTAATCTTTAGAAGAACTTGGCAAGAGTACATCTGATATTGGAAGAGCTGAGTCCACAAAATTGTATGATGAGACAACTAGGAAAGCCTTTAATGATAGAGGGCATTTGCAGCCATGAAGAGTGAATGAGAAAGAGAATGAAGTAACACCACTATATCATCTAGCAATTCCTGAACACAAGAAGAGGAAGCTTAGTGTTACTTATTTGAATAATAATACCTATATAAAGGTCATAGCAATTAATTCCAAGATTTCTGGCATTTCTAATGACACTTTGAATTCAATCTGACAGGCTAATTCTCTCTGGGATACATATAGTTTCTTCTAAACTGAAGGTCAGTAAACTTTTTTAGCTTTGCCTTTACTTCTGACTTAAAAGTGAATCTTCTGAATCTTTAGATTCTTAAGTCTTACATTTATGAAGTGTTCCTTCAACCTATGTTGAGACTGTTTTCCAGAAAAAGTCCAATTATGGAGGAAGGCCATTCAAGAAATCATAGAGAGAGAGATGAGAGAGAGGTTGTGTTTTATAAATAAAACCAGGATTTTAACTGGTCTTTCCCTTTGGATTTGATGAGGAAAAGCTTAGAACTAATGATACTGTAGGACAAAATAAGACTAGGTTAGTTGCTAAAAGCTTTACAGAAAGGATAGATGGATTGGTGAGACATTGCATCTGTGGTTTGTGTAAACTATGTGCATTAAATTTCTTTTAGATCTATTTATAACCTTCTAATTCATAAAATGATGTCAAAATAACCTTTCTAAATATAAACTAAGAGAAGAAAATTGAAATGCAGCCGCCAGAAGACTTTGCTACTAAAGGCCAACTAGATATCTTTATGATCTTTCAGAAGATTCATTGCTTTAGCATATCAATTTTGATAGGAGTAATTTTTTTGCAACTAGTAAGAGAGATGCTTTAGCTCATCAATAATGGAACAAAGAGAGAGAGAGAGAGAGAGAGAGAGAG